ATGGCCACTGGGCCCCACAGCCACCTGCTGACCTCCTCTTCTCTCGTAGGCTGTTCATGACCATCAATAGGAAGAAGAACATGGTAGTCTCCTTTGGAGATGGGGTCACCTTTGTGGTTGTTCTGCATCAGGTGTGGAAGAAACATCCTGTCCACCAGGACTTTCTAGGCTTCTATGTCATGGACAGTCACCGGATGTCAGCACAGACACATGGGCTGCTGGGTATGGAACGTTCAGACTGCAGACTGTTCAGGCCAGATAGCAGCATGGGAAAGACGTGCACAAGGCCTCCTTAGGCACTCTGTACCCAGCTCACGACACCCCATTCAGCCTTTGCATCACCCCTGAAAGGTCAGTGGCTGGGTTACCCATGGCAATGGCCAGGGGCTGACAATGTGAACATTTTCATTCCCAGGGCAATTCTTCCACCCCTTTGACTTTAAAGTGTCTGACATCCACCCAGGCTCTGACCCCACAAAGCCCGATGCCACCATGGTGGTGAAGAACCATCGGCTGACTGTCACCAGGTAAGGGGGTTCCTCTGACACCCTCACTCTGCCCAGGCACATTTTCCTGGTGGGCTCTTGTCTTCTATGGGGTACTCTTATTTCCATTTGAGGGGAAAATCCAAGTTTGGCCTCATGAGAAGAGAAATCGTATGACCACATTCTTGACTGAAGAATTCTGGGCTCTTAGAATTGCCAACTTCATATCCTTTTTCAACCTCAAGTCAATGGCCACAGCAGCCATCTTGCCCACGCTGTGTATTACAGCCTCTCTCTTCTTTCCCCCAGGGGCTCCCAGAAAGACTACAGAAAGGATGCCAGCATCAGCACAAAGGTCGCCTGCTGGTTCGTCCACAACAATGGGGAAGGGCTGATTGATGGCATCCACACTGACTACATTGTCCCCAACCTGTTTTGAGTAGACACACCAGCTCTTGTTGAAATGTGTTTCTTGCATCTGCAACAGGGGTGCAGAATGGGCCCTGTGGGAGGGGCTGGGACAATAAAGCCCAGGTTGGAAACTAGAGAGCTGCCAGCCTCTACATGTCTTCATGAGCCTCTGCTCCAGCGAACAGGCAGCTGGGACCCTAGGCAGCCCAAAGGAGGGAAAGGCTGGTAGGAAGGCAACTTCTTGGGCCTCTCAACTGACACAGCTAAGAGATAGATTTGGTTAGGGGTGGCATTATGGGAGTCAAATGTATGATAGTTTGGGAAAGGAAAATCAAGAATTGACTTTGGAGCAAAGGGGCTCTTAGAAGTCAGGAAGGATTGAATACATTTCAGTGTTTAGGAAGGTCATAATAAAAGTAAAGGGATGTGACTCAAAAGCTCTTATCAGGACCTTCAGAAGTACAAAGTGCTCTAGGGAAGCCACAGCCCAAATCTAAGTGAGGATGTCATCCACCCCTCCATCTGTGCACCCACTCATCCATCCATTCTACCACCCATCCATTCGTCCAACCATCCATCCATCCATTCCCCCACCCACCCACCCATTCACCATCCAACCGTCTGCTCACCCACTCATCCATCCATCCACCCATCCATCTGTCCATCTATTTGTCCATCCCTCCACCATCCATCCATCCACCCATCCATCCACCCATCCATCCACCTATCCATCCTACCATCCATCTATCTCTTCAGTCATCTGTCCCTCCCTCCTTCCATCCATCCAAACACCCACCCACCCACCCATTCGTTCCAACCATGCTTTTACCTACCCATCCATCCTACCATCTATCCATCTTTTCAACCATTTTTCTGTTCATCCATCAATCCATTCATCCACCCATCCATTGATTCAGCAGATGAACACAATACCCTGGGCGAGGATCTGGGGGCACACAGCTTAGTAATCCAGTTCCTATGTTCATGAGTGCCCAAGTTTGCCTTTATCTGGGCCAGGCATCTCTGGAATCCTCCAATTTCACCTCATGGTGACCACTTACTCTAACCTCCCACTGAATCTGGGTAGGGCGTCAGAGAGAAATTCCTGGAGAAGGGGTTCTGAGAGATCTTCAGCCTGGACAACCCTTTCCTACCTGGACAACTGCAACTGCCCCTTCCTGTGTCTCCTTGCCTCCCTCACTGCCTTCCAGAGACAGCTTTCCACAGAGCAGAACTGATCACCACTCCCTGCCTAAATCCCTACAAATGACATCTTCCATCCATTTGCTCTTAGGACCAAGACAAAAGTTCTTCCTGTGGCCTTTCCAGCTCCCCTCACACACCAGGTGTGCCCCTCACTTTCTGGGTTCCAGACACACAGGCTGCTTCTACTGTGCAAACATGACCCCTCCTGCCCTAGGTCCTTTGCCTCTGCTGGTCTCTCTGCCTGAGGGGCTAAGGGCATGCTGGGCAGGGGGTACCCCATTGAAGGAAGCAGTGGAAGCTTTGATGGCAGAACAGGGGGCACAGTAAGGCTGGAGGAGGTGAAATCAGACTGGGGGGTGCCATGAATGTCAGTGGGCTGGGGTGGTGGCATGAGGCTGTGGTCACTAGAAAGTTGTCCTACCTCCCACTCCAGGGGCCGCACAGCCTCACCCTTCTGCTAGAGCCAGAACTATAGTTTTCTGGGGCCCACACTGGCCTGGGGCCTGGAGAGGGGATTGGAGGGCAGGAAGGGTGGTCCAGGAGGAAGTATTTCTCATCAGGGAAGACCCCCAGGTGGCTACAGGATGCTACTGGGGGATCAGTGGCTCTTACTGCTCTAGGGAGAGAGCCACCTGAGATGTGGCTCCTGTCTTGAAGGCGCCCCATGGCCTCAGGGTGAATGTGGCAGGGGTACGGGCTGGACTGGCTAAAAGGGCCTAGGCCAGTGAGGGGACCCCCCCAGAGTGGGCAGGCCCTACCATCTCATTCAATCCTGGGCTGGCTAAGGAGCCACATAGCTTTCAGCCAGTCATCTTGAGGTCAGTTTGCCCATCTGTGAAATGGGGGGGAATGGCCCTGCTGATGGAGAGTGTGCAACGGCATCCTCAGTATGGTTTCTGGTCCTGCTGAGGTGCCTGTCTCTGCCCTGCAACTCCAGGTAACAGCCATGCCACGCAGGTTGGGAGAAAGGCAGGAAGAGGTCCCCAGCCAAAATCCTGTCCCCTCTCCCCTACACACAGGCAGGGAGGCCCGTCATGCAGGCAAAAACTAGGTGGACTCTGTCCTCTCCCCAGTCCCACATCAATACTAGCTCTGCCTGTCCCTGCCTGCAGCCTGGCTTCTGGGACAGGGACCATGCTGTGTGGTGAGGTGTGCACAATCTGCCTGGCCTGGCCCTCCCTCCCCTCGACCTCATCCAACAGCCCCTCCTTCCTTCACTGTCCCTGAACTCAGCACAGTGTCCTGGCTCGAGGCCTGGGAACATGCTGTTCTTGCCACCTGGTGTCCTTGCCCTCCTTTTCCACTGAGCTAACTTCTCTTCTTTCTTCAGACTCACTCCCAACAACACCACCTCTACAATACCAGCCTTCCCTGATAGCCCCTGTCTCCCTTCAGGCTCCTGCAGCACCTGGTCATTTCTTGGGTGGCAGCTGTCACAATAGGCACTGTGCCTGTCATGTGCCCAGTGTGCCCAGAGCACCCCGAGGGCCTGGCCCAAGCAGGTGCTGGAAAGTACTTGGTGGATAAAAGAGTGAAGAGCATGGACCCACTTCGGCTGTTCGCAGGGAGCACCCGCCTCTTGGTGCTGGCAGGGCCAGAAAGTCAAGCGTGACTCCTCTGCTGTTGCACAAAGTCAGCAGCCCAGACCAGCTGGTCGTGTCCCAGAGGGGTGAGCTTGGGGTGGGCACTCCTCTTTGTATGTCACAGCTAGCCCCACAGCAAATCCCCGCTGAGGCTCTGGCCTGAGGGCCTCTGAACGACCTTCACAAAGTGACTCAGCCCGAGACTCCCACTTGCCAAGGAGGCTTGATGGAGAAGCAGCAGTGCAGGGAGCAGTGTTTCTGTGTGTTGAGCAAACCTGCTGCTGGACACCCCTCCCACTGGCCTGTCCTCTGACCCTTCTAGAAAGACCCACTGGTCAAACACCCTCCAGAGCTAGGAAAGAATGTTTCCCGGATGATCTGGTCTGTTTCCTCTTAGCAAGCAAATGAGCTTATTTTCTGCTTTACCTTGGCTGCCAGGAAGCTCATAGCAAAGGTTTATGCTCAAACACTGCTGCAGCTTCCCCTACCCTGTTGTCTCTGATTTAACTGTCCTCCTGCTAGGCTCTTTTCTTTCATTCTCATACCCATGGATTTTGGTTTTATTCTCTTTATGCTTTTTATTTGTAAGCCACAGACTTGTGTCCTTTTTTTTACAAGTAGGAGCAGTAATAATACATTTTTTATGTATGCTTTGCCTGTGCAGGAGTTGGGTGGAAACTTTGGGGTGCCTAACCCTGTGGCATAAACAGGAGAGGAGACATCACAGGATTTAGGGTTGAGGACCCAGATCACCCCTATCACACCAGAGGTTCCTGGGAACAGGCCCTTGTTCCCCTCCTGGGATTGGGGCCTTGTCTCTGTGTCTCCTCTGCCTTCCAGTGCTGGCTTTTGTACGAGGCAGTGAGCAGACAGGCCTGTTCCTGAGCACAGGTGCGAAAATCAAATTGTGCAAGCAAATTCCACTGCAAAGCGGCCCAAAATCTCCCCGAGAAAATCAGAGAGTTGGATTACAAAGGTTTCCAACCCAGTTCACTCTTTTTTTTTTTTTTGAGTCAAAACTGGTTTTCATAGTCCAAGTGACCATAAAGCAGACTGGACCTCTGTTCCTGGAGAACGTTCTCCAGCCCTAGGCCCCTAGCTGGGAGCTGGAGTGACATATTACATAAGTGCTTTAATCTCAGTTTCCCTGTTTGTAAAGAGGAGTGACTGGACTGAAAGCGCTGCATGGACCTTGCTGGCCGCAGGGCCTTGAGAGCTGACAATGGAAGATTCCATGTTCCACGATGCTAAGTGTTCAGGATGCAATTCTGAGGCCCTGGGATCTGGCTAGAGAGAACCAGAGACACCCACTCCCTGTGCTCGCATCTCCTTTCTTTATTTCTAATGAGTGGGAATCCCTTCCCCCCTCGTGGTCCAGGCCCACAGGTGACCCTGCATTTGCAGGGTGGCAGCCAAGCGTACATAGCATGCATAGCTCCTGTCACCAGAACTACAGCTCCACGGACCAGCAAGAAATCTCTGTTCCTGGGGGCCCCACCTGGTAATCCACCTTGAGCTCTCTGGGATGGAAAGACAGACAGACAGACAACTGGTCAGTAAATCTTAGCTGTGGTGGGAAAGGAAAAGAATAGGACAGCTAGGGACAGGAAGATGGAGGCGAGTCCCAGTGTCCCTCTAGAATTCCCTCCAGCACAGGCCAACAATGCCCATTCACCCAGAGGGTATGGCCTCCAGAGTCCAGGGCTCTGAGAGTTTGGGGTGTGAATAGGGAGAGGTTCCTACTGTCCCCAACCAACAATAGTGCTCTCAGGCCGGTGTGTTTTCTGTGGGTCTGAGTTGAACACCCTTTGTGGGGTCTCTGAGAGCTGGCTTAGACATGTCTAAGGCATCAGCCTTCCACCTGTTTCTAGTTCCTGGGCAAGGACAGGAGTGGGGTCCTGCAGAGCCAGCTCCTGGCCTCTCCATCCCCACCCTGCCCCAGCCAGGCTTAGCGGCCTGCCTGCGCTGAGTCACCTTGTAGCAGAGTAGTCATTGCCTTGAACCCTCAGTGTGCGTTTGCTGTCGTCTGACGCTTCTGGGGACCCCCAGAGCACCTCCTGGTAAAACTGCCCTGAGGTACAAAGGGCGGGTCAGCAAGGGGTAAAGACAGCCTGGGAGACGTGCAGGTGAGGGATGCTGCCTGTTCCCAGGAAGAAGTGGCTTCTGGGGACCCCCTGACCCTGGGCCACGGGCAGAGTACCGAGGGTCCCGCTGATGTGGCTGGAGAAGCGGTCAGTGTCACGCAGAAGGAGCCGGAGCCCCTCCCCAGGGCCATCCCAGGACAACAGGCCGATGGTCACTTTGTCTGGACCACTGAGCAGCAGGAGACCCATCTGGTCCATGGTCATCTTCAGGCTGTGGAGAAACCCAGTGTCCTGAGCAGGAAAGCAGAGACGCTTGCACAGACCCTCAGCAGTGCGGCGGGGAGTGGGCTGCCTCCCTTGTTAGGAAGTCACAGTGTGGCCTTGGGTGGAAAGTCCCTGCAATCTTTTGGGTTTCAGTTTTCTCAATGGTAAAACATGACCAAAATCAACTTGATGATATTCCGGTTTCCCCAACATTATTTATGATATAAAAGAATTGTTCCTTTCCCTCTGGTTTTCTTAAATTTGGTTTCTCACGAATTAGTTTTATGTGATTTAGAGGGTTTCTCTGATGACTCTATCCCTTTTGCTTTTATGGCTGGTGCCACTTTCTTTTGGTGGCTGGTGTTTAATCATGTGTTTCAATGTCTGGAGGGTAAGTCTCTTCTCATTCTTTCCCCTCCTTTGTTACTTACAATAATCTTTGAGATTCTTGCCTTTTTGGTTTCCTCGTGAATGTTAGGCTCCTTTAAGCACATGAATAAGGCCCTGCTGTTAATCTGAAGTTAAATGAAATGGAATCGCCCTGAACAGAAGCTGTCCTATTGATTCAACTCAATCTAAAGACATGGTCTATTTTTATTTATATCTTCTGTAGCTCACGCAAGTATTTGGACTTTCTATCACTACAATTCTTAGGATTCTTCATTTCATTGTCTCGGCATAGATGAGCTATTGATTTTGGGGAATCTATCAGATAACAAGAAACGTCAAGATCTTTTATGCAACTGGGAAGGTTCTCAGATGACCTTGGATTTGCTGGGTGTGCTCTCGTTGGTAGAGTGGAGACGAGTCCCTGCCAAAAGGCTCAGTGGGGTGGCGACGGACAAGGCTCTCCACACTTGGGAAAGACGGGCTATGGCACTGGCTTGGGGCTGGGAGGGCACTGCCCGCAGAGGGCCAGGCTATGCAGTCCCTCCCCGAGGCCCCTGGTGATTTCTGGAGTGGGAGAGCTGCCCCTGAAAGGCCCACAGTGGGGCAGCCACACCACCTAGAAGAGGTCACCTTCTGCTTCCACTACCCAGCGGCTGCAAAGTATTTGAGGCCAGCTGGACTTGTCCCTCCTCGCCAGAGCTCCAAGAGTATGTGAGGACAACATTTATAACCTGCCCTGTGGACAGTGCTCTTGGGCTTCCCACTGTGGCATGCCCAGCGGGCACCACACCACCTGGTGGCCCGGGGCTCCCCAGCTACACTCTCTCACTGGGATCTCCTGGCCTTCTGGCTGCGGGCTGGGATGGTTATCCCCAGTTATTAGTGAGGAAGCTGAGGCTCAGAGGGGCTAGGTGGCCTACCCACGGTCGCCCAGGATTAGCAGCAGAGTTAGCTCCGACCCACACTGTCTCCTGCACGGGATAGTGACCCGGGCCAGCTGTGAGGGGCACCAGGTCCCCAGGAGAGCTCCTCAGTGCCCTGCAGAGCTCTAGGGGTACAGGGCTTCTACATCTCTGGCCCTCCTGCGAGTACAGCCGCTCCATCCCCAGGTCTATGGCCTCAGGCCACCTGTCAGCACATCGTCAGCCAATGAGGCCTGAGGGGTCACCTCCCCCTGGGGGCCCCCAGCGTGGGGCTTACCCGGGCATCACTGAGAACAGCGTCTCCTTCCACTTGTACACAGAGTTTCTTCGGTTCCGAGTGACCACTACATGCTCAGGGGACACACGAACCCGCAGCTGGGGGTTCTTGAAGGTCACCTCGATCCATGAGAACCCAGCCGCCTTCTCCTCGTACTGGCCAGTCACCTCAAGCCCTGAGAGGGCAGGACCAGGGAGGGCAAAGCTGTGGCCCCAGCCAGGGCTGGACACGTCCCCACCGGGAGCCCTCCCTGATTCCATCCCCTGGAGTCCGCTTGCCTCCTCAGGGGCAGCCCTTTCCTCAGCATTCTTTCCCACGGGGCGCCTGGCCCCCACAATCTCTGCACTCATCCCTCATCTCATGTGGCTTTGGAGGGGCCCCCGGCCCTCGGTGACAGCCACCCTCAGATGAGACCTCTGAGAAGGGAGGTCTGGTCTCAAGTCAACAGCCCTCCTAAGTCCCCCATGGTGCGCCTGGCTCTGAGCTGGAGGCCGGGGCTGAGAGTGAGACAGAGAATTGACGCTCCCGCCCTCAGGGACAGACAGTCCCCCGGCCTGGGTGATGAAGTGGGGGACCATGTGGATCTGAGAGGAGCAAGGCAGCCGTAGCCGTCCCGTGGCTCTGCGTGGGTCTGCGTGGCGCTGCGGAGCACCCCTGAGTGGTGCGCGTCTCCACATCTGACCCGCCACCTCAGCTCAACCAGCGAGGCCCTTCCAGGATCGAAGGGGCAAGGCCCGACAGGCGCACGTACCTCCTCCTGCCATTCCCCTCCTCCACACCCTCTGGGGTGCCACCCCTCAGGGCTCTGCGCTCTGCAGGCACCAGTCCCTCCGTCTAGAACATCCTTACCCCTTCCTCTGCTCATCTGCCAAGGCCCTGCCACTCCTGTGTGAACCCACGCAGCTCCCCTCTCCCCCAGGCAGCTCTGGCCCCCCTGGGCTCACTTCCACGTGGCCACTGTGCTTATCCGCACCCAGGCCACCCAGACCTGCAGGTGCGGTACCCAGTGAAAGGCCCGTGGCGTGGCTGTGTGAATGCCAGGGTCGGGGCGTGAGGGCGTGACTGTGCCATGTCTGGGACGGGCCTGCCCGGGGCCAGGTCTGTCCACGCTGTGCGAGTCTCTGTGGGCGGGTAGTGAGCGGGTGTGAGTGGTATCTGTGTCTCTCTAGGTGGCCGAAGGGTGTGCACCTCTCACCTTGGTCGGGGTCTGAGAGCAGGTTCACTGGCCCCTGAGAGCGCTTGAAGTCCACACAGAGCTGCTCCACGCTCTGCCCAGGCAGCAGCAGGATGACGGAAGGAGCCTGGATGGGGGCTGGGACAGCGGTGCATGGCTCCTGGGGCAGGGAGAGCAGGCTGGGGGACGAGGGTGGGGAAGGGGGCTGAGGGGCTGGCAACTTACCTGGGGCTGGGGCTGTCGTGCTTGTTTCTAAAAGAGGAAAAAGTCTGGGTTTAGGCTGCCCCTCCCAGGGGGCAGGGGGTTGAGGGGTGGAGTGGCGGGTGGGCGTGGCGGGGCTCCCTCTCCACTTCAACACTGTGACAGGTTCATAGACACCCCCAGGGCTCTCCCCTCCCAGGGTCTCCCCATTAGGACAGAAACTACTCCAGGGGCTCTGGCCTGGGGGACACCTTTGATTTTTATATCCACACCATGTGATATAGCTTGTCCAGGATTTGAGGTGGCTGATGGCGCTGAAGCAGGCATCAGTGCAGGAACATCGGGAAACAAACAGGGAGAAGGCAGTGAGGGTTCAGAACACTGAGCACGCCCTCCAGCTGTCCCTGCCACCTGCCAACCGCCAGTCGCCAGCCCCTCCCACTCCGCCACACACACACCCCGCCTAGAATAGCCTCCACCAAGGAGATTTTCAAACAGAAGAGCAGCTATCAGGGAAAACACCGAGGAGACAGGTCTAGCCTGGCTCTGCAGCTGGGTCTGAGTATAGACTTGGGGATCTGAAATAGTTCAAGGGACCATAGCTGGCTTTGTGAATGGAGGAAGCCCTCCCTTTCTAGAAGGTTTCATCATGAGTCAGCCTCCAGAGTATAGTGAATCCTATTCAGCGAAAATAAAGGACAAATAAAGTCCCGCCTTGTGGAGGGGATGCCTGAAGTCCACAGCTGGGTGGGGGAAGAGGCGGCTGGGAGGAAGGGCGGGTGATGACTGCCCCAAACAGCCCCACATGAGCCCCCGTGGTCGGTGTCTGCCCCTCCAGGGCCCAGGGGCCCCTCTGAACAGGAGTGTGGGAGAGGCTGCTCTGTCGAGGCTTGTGGCCTGCCGATCTGGGGACAGCTGGAAGAGCTCACACTACGTGGTGGAGTGCAGGAGAGCTCATACCCGGGAGATGAAAAGCCAAGGACCAGGCAAAGGAGTGGCCGGTGGAGAGCTGGGAGGGCGAGGGAAGCCCCCCAGGAAATGCTGCTCCCACGTGTCCTGGATTGGACCGACCCACAATCACTCAGCATCATGCCCCACAGCCACTGCTCTTGCCGGGCCAGGGGCTTCGTGCTTTATCTCACCCTACTCTGTGAGGGGTTCAGTGATTGCAATGAGGAAACCGAGGCCCTCAGTGGGCCAGGAAGTGGCTTACAGAATGCTGAGGTTGGTAGCACATCTTCCCAGGTCACAAGAGCAAAATCAGGAGGATGCAGAGGTCCCGGGGGTCCACGCATCTTTGAGGAGCTGAGAACTGGAAATCCGAAACTTGGCGGGATGCCAGAAACTCCAGCTTTGGAAAAATTGACATATGCGGTCTTCTCTGAGGCAGTGTGTGGGTCCTCACAGCCAGGGTTCGGGACCCCGCCCTGGAGTGGGACGTGGAGAGGGCAGGCGGCTCCCCCCTCCCATGCCGGAAGACAATGAATGCTGGAGCCCAGTATGTCAGGCCTCCCCCTGCAGCACCCCTCAAACTACCTTGTGCACTCCATCTTCTTCTATGGGCAAGGGAAGGCTCTGCATGGCTGATTCCTAATCAGACACACCTGAACTTCAGTCCCAGGCCTGTCACCAGCCAGGTGAGCCAGGCAAGGCACTCCCCCTACACAGCCAGGTCCATGGTCCTGTCAATCTCCCCTCCCACACCCTCCTCCTTTGCCACCTGTTATTCTGGACTGTCGACCTCCTATGACATGAGATCCGAAGCGAGTGTGACCTGGAAATCGGTGAGATCGGGATTTGCTTCTTGGACCTGCCTTTCTCGGGGGGTGGCGGGGTGGAATGGGATTGTGTCCCTAGTGCCAGGGGTAGGGCCTGAGAGGCAGCCAATATTTGAATGAACAGGTGACTAAATGCACCACATGCTTGGTCAGATGCCATTTCTTGGCAGCAAGGCTGGGCTAGAGAGGCTTGGGCTGGACCTGGGCCTGGATGGTGATCTCAAGGGGCTGGTGCCCTAGGCCCTATGTCTGCGGACCACCACCTAGCCCAGCCTTTGAGGATATTTGGCCTTTACCTGAGTGGACATTCTTGTGTCTATTTTCTGGATAAAACAGAGAGGGAGAGAGAAAGAGAGAGAGAGAGAGAGATTGTCAGGGTGGTTTTGATCAATTTGAAATGCTTATGTTCAATCCTGCTACCCAGCCCCAGAACTACATAACGCAATGAATTTGGGGAGCCAGGAGATCTGGCCTCAGTTTTCTCATCAGTGAAATGGGATGGGGCTCCGGGGCTCCTGGGAGTCTGTGGATGGCAGGGTTGGGACCTTGGCCGGCTGCCAGGGAAGGCACAGGGAGAATGCTGGGACCAGTCCTGCTGCCTGGGAGGCTGGGATCCCAGCCCCCACCCACCGTCTTCCGTGGGTTTCTCAGCAACTTGAGACTGTTCTTGGCCTTCAGGTTTGGTGACCACCATAGATGTAAGAGGAGTGACAAAGCTGTAGTGCAGCGATAAGTTGAGAGCTCGGGTCTCAAGGGCCTGCCGTTCAGCATCTGATGCAGAAACACTGTAGGTCGAGGACATCAGAGCTCAGGAGGTCACTGGACGCCAGAACAGATTCCCCTTCCCAACCAGCCCCTTCTGGGAGGTCCCCCTGGGAGAGTCCGGAGCTCGGACACGATGTCAAACCACCCTCTCTCCATGCCTAGGGGATGCCTCATGCCAGCTGTGCCTGCCCCACCAGCGACAGGCATGGTGTGTGTCTGCGGAAGTGGCCCATGAGGGCCGGGGCCACTCTCACCTTTGCTCCAGCAGTTGCTGGATAGTCAGGTACGCCCAGAGTCTCTCCATGAAGTTGTGGAAGATATACTTGGGGCTCCGGAACTCCCCCTCCTGCTCTGCCACGCTGGCCTCAGTTTGGAAGGTGATATTCTGTGTATGCTGAAAAGAGGGGCCCAGTCGGGGCAGGAGCAGTGAGGGCCTGACGTCGGCACCTGGCCCAGCACTTCCGAGCTCTTCTGTGACTGGAGCTGGGGCAGGTCCCATGTGCTGACTGTGAGGACTGCACTTCCTTTGAGTAGAGTAGGGGGTAGGGAGGGAGTTTAGGGGCATGAGGGGCTCAGTCACAGAGCCGCCAGGATGAGCAGGAGGTGGAGATAAAAGGGAGCAAACCACCCCAGGTGCCACCAGGCCGGTGCAGAAGCAGGAGCTCAGATTAGCTGACCCTTGCGAGAAAGGGAAATGAGGATGGGGTCAGAATCCCAGATTAGAGCAGAAACGGCAGCAGGAAGGATTTGCAAGTACAATGTGGAGCAGAGGGGTCCCCAGATACTGCCCACCCTTACCTCAAAGATGGGGCAAAGGGGCAGAGAGGGAAGGGCCTTCCCCAGCAGTCAGTGGCAGTGTTTAGACTAGAACTCAGATATCATGGCTCTGGGTTTGGGGCCCCGTGCACCCCAACAACTGTCCCCTGCCTGAGTTAGCGTCTCTGCTGGGGCTGGTCACTAGGGAACAATGACAGGGAAGCGTATGCCCCAACTCTGTGTGGACTGGCTGCTTCCACCCCCAGGGAATGGCCTGTGGTCACAGGCTGACCTAGCTCGCAGCCTGGGAAAGGGCTCTGAGGCCAAAGGACCCCCAAGCCTCTCTTACCGGAGCTCCCCCGGCAGCCAAGAGACCTTTTCACAATGTGGATCAGATCCTGCCCCAACTGGCATCAGCCTCCTCTGTCTCTCACCCAGGGCACACCTGGGCTGCCTGCACGAATTTTGCCCTATCCACATGTACAGCTATTTATTTGATGTTTTTCTTTAAATTAACTTTAAATAGACTGGCACTTTTTACTTGGCCTTAGCTCAAGTAATAATACCTGTGAAATCTTAGGTCTGAGGTGTGAGTCGTATTTTTCAAAATACACATTAAAATAAATATATAACTACTAAAACAAAGACTGTGAACCACCCTGAGTCACCTTGGGTTCCACGCTTCGGGAACGAGTGGCCTCCAAGCTGGTATCAGCTGCCAACACGTATGGAATTTTTACGCTGGGCCAGATATTAATCACACAGGAACTTTATGAGGTGGCACGTGACTTACTCCCATTTTTACACAGGAGGAAACTGAGGCACAGGGAGGTTAAGTGACTTCCCCACATCTCACCTCTGGGAGGTGGCAGAGCTGGGTTTGAAGCCAGGAGGCTGGCCATGCTCCCTGTGCCGACAGCCATGGCACTTGGCCACTTCTCCTGACACAAGGACCTGGGCCCCTGACACCCACTGCCACTCTCCCCACACGTGCTGCCCTCCTGCCACACAAGCCCAAAACATTCCTCCCTCATGCCACCATCCAGATTCCGCCCTCCTCCTACTCATCCCTCAGTTTCAGCTGAGCCTCCACCGGGAAGCCCTCCCTGGTCCCCAGGCCAGGTTGGGGTCCCTGGAGCTGCTCTCCTGAGTGCCCGGGTCAGATCCCAGCCTGTAGCTCCTTGTTTGTGTGATGATGTAGCCATGGCTGTCTCTCTCATGAGGGCAGGGGGGGTCAGCCTCATTCATCACTGTCTCCCCAGGACCTGGCACAGCACAGGTGCTCAGTTTCCCTTTGTGGAATGACAGGGGCTCACTGGGAAGAGACAGAGAAGGCTGGGCAAGGATGGGGCACCATGTGGTGAGCAGGGCTTGGGACTCTGCTGCATGGGGCCCAGGGCAAGTTGCCTGCTTTGTCGGAGCTCAGTCTGCTCATCTGTGAAATGGGAGCAGCCCTCCCTGCCTGACTGCAACCTCCAAGGGCCAGTATGAGGACAGGAGGAGATGAAAATTAGGAAGGAATCCCTGCAGTCCCCTTGTGCTCACAGGTGCACAGACTGACTGCTGAGTGCCTACCTATTCTGGTCACAGCACAGGTGGTCTCATGAGAATCACTATTTTGTCTCATGGAATCGCTACGGTGAACCCACGCAGTGGGGACTGGCGCCCTCCACAGGTGGCAGAGGGAGAACCTGAGGCTCAGGGCACTTTGAGATGAGGAGCTTGGCGCATCTGGGATTTGAACCCAGCTCCTCTGGCTGCAGAGGTGGGGCTGCCCAGCTGCCCTTCCCCTCCAGGATGGCTTGGCCACACTCACCGTCTGCCCACTGACTTTGGCTGACAGCACATCAGGGCTCTGGTCCCGGAGCTTCCCGGCCACCACCATCTCCGAGCCCTTGAAGAAGAGCTGGAAGTTTTCCCGCGTGACCTCCTCCACGGCATTGCTTGGGTACTCGAAGGCTACTGCCGTCAACAATGGGTTGGCCACCTCCTGGTAGAAGTCCTGCAGGGCAACGGAGTGTCACGAGAGCCAGGCTGGAGTCTTTCCAGCGCTCTGTGCAGTCCTCCCCGGGCACACTGGCACCTGCAGCTGCAGGGCAGAGTCCGAGTCCTCATAGATGCGCCGAGCCAGGCCGCCATTGTCCAACGCCAGCTTCTCCAGGAAGGCGTAGCTGACATGGAAGCCGAAGCCCAGGCAGAAGACGTTGTACCGGCCACCTATGGCTTCCCGCACGTTCTCCTGGATCCTTGCAGGGTTGATCTCCCCTGGACCCGTGGGTTTGGGAAGAGGGTGAGAAAATAGTGATTTGCTCAATGGATATTTCTGGAACCTCAGAGCCAAAGGGGCCTCAGCAGCCCCCTCCCTGCTCCAGGTCCCACTTGCTGCCCAGGTGCAGGCTCAGCTGCTTCCCCGGCACAGCGTGCCCTGGAGGTGCCATCAGTGCCCTCACCCTCGGTGGGGTCGCCGTCAGTGAGCAGGATGATGAGGGAGACGCTCCCCTCACGCAGCAGCTCATCCCGGTTGCTGCTGTCCAGCAGCTGCACGGCCATCTGCATCGCGTCGTTGATGTTGGTCCCTGAGGGGCATACGCTGTCAAGGTGGCTCCCAGCCAGGTGCCCAGAAGCCCCCACTGCAGGGCTGCAGAGGCACTCACCTCCGAAGGCCTGAATGTTGGCAGCAAAGCTCCTGGCCTCATTCACGTTCTCCACTGAAGCTGGCACCAGGGAAGGCTTCCACTGGGCTGCTTTCCCGCTGAACACGATGAGGTTGAACTGATCTTTGGAGCCGAGGTCATCCAGGATCTTGATTAGGGATTCCCGGGTCTGGTCAGGCGGAGAGGAGAAGGAGCTCAGAGGGGTTCCCTGAGGGCTCACGTGCCCTTGGGCTGGCATCCCTGGACTCCTGTCTGGGGTGGGGACGTGGTATATGCTCTAGGGGCAGAGGCTGCCCCATGCTCTGGCCGACCTTGGCCCCTGGAAGCCCCCACCCAGGAGGATGGAGGAAGGAGGGTCTGCTTGCCGGACCACAGCTCATGGTGTGAGAGGCCTGGGAGTTTTCAGGGCCCTGTGCTGGCCCAGGGGACCCACCTGCTGGATTTTCCTGCCGCTCATGGAGCCGCTCTTGTCAATGACAAAGACCACGTTCTTGGGCATTGTGGAGAGGCCCTCGGGAGCAAAGTAGTGCACAAAGTAGCCATTCTCAATCTGCGGCCAGAGTGAGATCGCACCCAGACAATCAGCTGCAGCCCTGCTCTGCCTGGTCCAGCGTCCTCACCCCAAATCCTTGGGTTCCTATGCTCCCCTTGTTCCAACCCCTCATCTCCATCCCACTGTTAGTCTCCCCAAATCCTCACCATATTCAGGGCTCAGCCCAGCCCCTCTCTCACAGAAGCTTTCCTTGCTCATGCACAGCTCACTAGAACGCTCCCTACAACTTTATCTCCTATTTGTTTTAGTATTTGAGGCGGCTTATCCTAAAAGGTTCAGACACAGTAAACCTGACATCCATCAGAAGAGGGAAGACTTAACAAACAAGGAGTAAAAGGGAAGCATAATAACGTCAGAAAATAGTATGAAAGAAGCTACTGCAGTTGAGCACAAAACTGAGCTGTGAGCCTCCTGGCAGCAAAGGTAAAGAAGGAAACCCCACAGAGCAGCTCTTCATAGAGACAAACTTTTCTGCCTCTGAAAACGATAGTTTCAGGGACAACACAACAAATCTGCCTGTTTTCTGTCTGTGCCAGCCCCTGGTGCACACTGCTAAGGAGGAGTGGTTATTTTCCTCTTCTAGACTACCCAAGCTCATACCCTTGAGGGTGGACAGATTTCCAGGTTGCTCTGCTCTTGCCTGGAGTCCACCCACCTGAATGGAGCCCCCTGAGTGGGTCCGGTTCACATCATAGCGGATGATGAGGTTGCCATCCAGGACTGTGTCCTGCTGCTTCGGGGACTTTTGCTTCTGGGAGAGCGTTGGCTTGAACAGGATGTGAGCCTGGAGGAACAACGGGGGCTGAAGCTGGGAGGCGCAGCGAGGCCAAGCCGACACCACCATCTACCCCGTTGTATATTGGGAAGTCTGAATTCCGGGATGCAGCCTTGGGTCAATGTTCCAGGGAACTTTCTCTCAGGCTGAGCTATTGATGTCCTGCTTCCATGCAGGGGAGAGGGTGTGAGAGTGAGTCCCCTGTTCCTGGAGCTGTGCAAGCAGAGGCTGGGCTCGGGCCATGTGGGATCCAGCTATCTCCTCCTCTCCACTGGGTCCCAGGTCCCTCACATCAGTCTACTCTCCAAGTCCTTCCCCCACAGACCTCAGGGCTCATCCAGGGACCCACTGTCCTTCTCCAGGCCTTGCCAGATGACAGCATGGACACAGAGATCCCAGAAGCCCCTCAGCTCAGAGAATCTCCCAACTGTCCCTCTAGGCTCATAGGGCTGGTCTGAAGCCAGGGTCCTTGGCGCCCCACCTGCTGACCACGGCAGGCCCACCTTGGTCGCGTTCTGTGAGATGGTGAGGGCATTAACCAGCTCGTTGGTCACGAAGGTGCTCTCTGTCTCCAGAAAGCTGATGCCCTGCGGCTCGAAGATGTGAATGTCCATCTGGAGGCAAGATGTGGGGCACCGGGTCAGCTGGGAGACCGGGCTGGGACTCACAGGAAGCTCAGGGGCAAGGAGGGGTCGTCCTCAGCAGGAAAAGGGTTACCCAGGAAGCCTCCTGGGAAGAGGTCGCACCAGGTACCTGCAGATGCTTGACCGGCTGCTGGGGCTGCACTTTCAGCAGCAGCTCATACACCCCCAGATGCCGCCTGAGCAGCTCCTCATACACCAGCTCGAAGGTGACCTTGGCAGAGGGAGCCACACTGACCGACACCTGGAACTGCTCCGTCTTCCTCCCGGCGGCCCTGGGAGAGGAGGGCGTCAGGCCTGCCCCTCCAGGCCAGGTAGGGTAAGGCCGCTGGAGGTGGGAGCAAGGCCAAGGGCCGAGGCAGGGCAGCTCTGTCTACACCACCCCCGACGCCACCCCGTCTCCCCACACCGCTCACTTGACGAGGCCAGCGCTCTTGCCCTGGGCCACTGCCGCGCTGTACTGCTCCTGCGCTGCAGCCTTCTCCTTGATGCTCCCTGGGTAGGTCACGCCGTCGATGATCCTGGGGGCAGGAGAGCCTGGTGGGAGGGGGCCCACTCCACTGCACGGCACAGGGTGAGGACAGGGCCTCCACAAAGCGCGCCAGGCCTCACCTCCCCTGAGGCAAGCGCAGTGCTAGTAACATGCCTTTCACGAAGGGACGGAGGAGGGAGGACGCAGAGGGCAGGGCTCGGTTGACTCTGCCCTCCCTTTACGTGCCCAGGCTGGCCCCACATCCCCACTTGCCCCTTCCCCTCACAGACCGTTCCCAGAGTTGCCAGTTAATCACCAGCAGGAGGTTTCTGAGCAGACTTGCGCCCAGCCCTGTGGGGCCAAGACCGAGGAGGAGGGAGACACAGGCCGAAGGCTCTGACCCCATCCCCTGCGCTGTCTCCATCCTCCCCCACGCAAGGCAGGCACTCTGCGGGGGGCGGACCTCTCTAGAAGTAGGTTTTGGACAACTGGTGGTTGGGACTCCTAGGGGTGTAGACGCTCCTAGCATCCATCCTTTGGGGCTGAGAAAGAACTGCCTGAGCTGATTCTCTGGAAGGAAAATGACTTCTCCAGAACCTCCTTATGGGGTGAGCAGGGCCGTGCCTGGTAAACATACGCCTGCTTCCCCTGGGGGTGGCATGAAAGGGTGGGAGCGTGCAGGCTGGGTGGGAGAGGGTGCAGTCAGGACGCCGGGACCCCACGGCCCTCCTCCCTGACCTTCCCGGTTGCAGTTTAACTCCGGGCCAGGACGGGGGCTGGTGAGTGGGCAGCAGGGCTCCCCCTCCCGGGCGGACAGTTCCCAGTACCTGGGGCTCCTGGCCAGGTCAGGGAGCAGGGAACCCTGCCCTCCGCTTCCCTATCTGCTGCAGCGACAGGGTCTGGGTTCAGAGAGGGGTGGTGACAGTGCTGGGCTCCAGGCAGATGCCATGGCAACTACCAGCGCTGGCACCCATGTCAAAGGCCGGCACAGCCTGCGAGGCTCACGGGGCAAGTCGGGCAGCACAGACCCAGGCTCTGGGCTGGGAGAGTGGGGGCTGCTGTGGAGTAGGGGACGGGTCGGGCGGGAGGAACAAATCACAGGGACCCCAGCCCTCCATGGCAGTTTGGCTGTTTCCCAGAGGCCCCAGGGTTCATTGGGGACCCCGCCTAAGAGACACTCCTCTCTGCCCTGCCACTGCCCTCGCTGTTTCTGGGAGCAGCCTCTCCCCTGTCCTCAATCACAGCCTCTCCTGGAGGCCAGGGACAGACATTTAGCAAACATTGAGAAACCGAGTCGGCGGAGGACAGAGTGAGTAAGGATCATCACTGGCTCAGAGTCCACAGAAACCCCAGGCACCTCCTGACGTGGCCGAGCAGAAACACCCTCTGCGACATCCCAGTTTGGGGTAGCCAAGGAGGACCCCTCCTCAGGGTGACGCTCCACTGTGAGACAGTCTGGGGGGTTAGGACGTTTTCCATATTCTGAGCTGGAATCTGCTTTTTGGTGACTTGCCACTGCCTGTGTCTGGCCTCAGGATGCCCTAAGTTGGTGCCCCTCGAAGGCGCAGACACAGAGATGCGATGGTTCTCTGCCTGCTGCTGGGCAGCACTCAGGGATGGCGGATGGAGACAGGGAGGTGTCTCTGCGAACAGAAGGCTCCTTGGTAAAGCTGAAGACACACCCTGCACGCCTCCCTCCCTTTAGGAAGGGGGATGATGGGGTGCAGAGCAGATGGGGTCGCGGTGCTGGGCAAGGGGATGAGGATGAGGGTCAGGGGCACCTACATGGAGAAGTTGGTGATGAAGGCTTTCCTGGGCAGCTCCATCTGGAAGGTGGCCTCCCGCACAGTATCGGCCCTATTGACCACCCGGCTGGTGACGACCGTGTGGGAAAACCGGGATGAGACCTTGGAGTCCACAGTGAGGCTGTAGATGTCGATGCCATCCTGCACCAGTGAGGGAGAAGGGGGTCGGAGAGTTTCAATGCCACCACCCCAGCTTAGGGCAACACTCTTCACGAGGAGACCAAACCCTGCCTCCAACCCACAAAGCCACTGACCAGGCCTCGGGCTGAACCTAGCCAGGTCTTCGCACATACACATTCACCTCAAGTAAGAGGCAGATGTGTGCTTCATTCCCCACCCTACAGTGCCATGAGGCAGGGGCCACGTCCATTTTGATCTAGGGGGCCCACGGTGTCCCCTGGAGAACAAGCACGCAGTGGGTGGCGAAGTCTGGGCCCTAGTGTCTGGAAGGGATGTCGCACCCGTCCTTTGGGCAGAGGTGAGGGCCCTGGTGGGGACAGGAAGCTTTGTGTGCAGGCTTAGCCCTGCCCAGGGAAGGGCAGTGCACAGGTCCTTTGATTTCTGGAGGCTGTGACCTCCTTGGAAACTGGGGCAAACAGCTCCTGCCAGTCCCCAGCCAGGGCCCGTGGGAGCTGGGAGAACCTGGAGGTAGATGAGGGACCAGATTCTAAGACCCGGACTTTTCCTCTTTGCCCCTTTTCCCCACAGTGCACCCTCCCCCAGTTCTGCCACCCACATGCCCTTTGCCCCAAGGGCTGTGGTCCCCCATGTGCACCCGTGCAGAGCCTTGCACACCTCTTACCTGCCCACGCATGCAATGCTCATGTTTGCACCACTCTCTAGCTGCACATGCGCTTTAGCACAGAGGTGCTGAGTGGCTTGTTTATGTGCTGGAGTGTTTGCTCTGCGCCCGGCATTGCGCTAAGCACTTTATAGGTGTTATGGGTTTGATTTCACAACAATCCTCTGAATAGGCTCATTATTACCCTGTTTTACAGATGAGGAAACCAAGACATAGCATAAATAATTTCCCCGAGGTCACTCAGCCAGGAGCTATGCATAGAATGGGGCTCAAAACTGCATTTCCTCATCTGTAAAATGGAAAAACATGACCACCCCTTTTATAAAGTGGGAGGATACCTGTAAGGCCCTTGGGTGGTGCCTGGTGGACAGTCAGTACCATTCCTTTGCACACACACACTGACACGCTTGCACACACGGAAGCTCTCCCCCACTTCCCAGACATGTTCTCTCGTACCCCAGCTCACGCCGCTCATGCACAGGCGTGCACACCAGGCACCCGTGGACGCCAGCTACCTTCTGGGCAGCGTTGGGCTGGAGGACAGCCAGCAGCCAGAGCAGGACCAGCATGAAGCCGCAGGTGCGGACAGCGGCTGGGGGCTTCATTGTGGCTCCAGTGTCCGCCAGGCTGCTTCTGAACCGAAGAGCGAGTGGGGAATGAATTAGTAACTTGCTTCTGCCCCGCCCCTGCGGGGGCAGGTTCTGAGAAATTGGGATCTTTAAGCCAAAAACTGCTGTGGCTTCAGATAAGCAGGTAAATGACGAATGTCCCGTGAACCTTGGCTGGGGGCAGGAACATCTACTGAGGAGAGGCAGGCTCAGGTTGGAGTTGGGTACTGGCACCTTTTCCGAAGGGCCCAGAACATTTCCAGCCCTCATACCAGTCATTCCACCAACGAGCTCTGTAGGGCTGGGGGACAACAGTGAGGATGCCAGCCTGCTCTCCATAAGTCAGCCTGGGAGGAAACAGGGACAGCTTGGGAAGACTAGGGCTACAGGGCCACCCCAAGTGGCTTCCTGGAGAAGGGGGGCCTTGGCAGCCAGGGGAGTGTGACTGGGCAGTGGGGGGCCCGGAAGGCATCCAGAGGCCCTTGGAGGTGTCTGTGTGGGGTCAGATCTACTGGGCCAAGGCGGGATAGATATGCCTCATTTCTGGAGTCCAGCGGCCTCCCCAAAACAAGACCTGCAATTTGACAATACAAAGTGAGAGTCATAAAGATGCTACGTCCTGTGGCCCAGAGGTCTTGATGCAGGGAATGTACTGACAGGAGAGCATGGAACGGAAGAGAAAGCTAACAGCACGAAGAGCTCCCGATGGGGGGATTGGGTATGGAGGTCAGTCGTGCCAAGGGTGCCCGTGGATCACTGCTTGACAGAGGGCAGAATGCCGTTGTCATGGCTGGTGTGACACTGCCGCAGCCCAGACCCATGGGAGTGCTGGAGTGCTGCCCAAGGGCCTGGGGTGAAAGTCTCAGTGACTTTTTAAAAAATAAAGTTGCCTTAACAAAGTTGACGTGTGCCTTTTGTAACAAACAGGAAGAGAGTGAATAGATGGCAGGCACTCTGCAGCTGGCGCCCATGTTCCCTGGTGGCTCCGACAAGGCCAGCTCCTGAGTCTGTGGCCATAGATGGGTAAAGATGAGTCATAAAATGTGGCCAAGTGCCGAGTCGTGGGTCTGGGAAGGAGGACCACTCAGTGACACCAACCCTGGGGAGGGCCAGACACCTTGGGGGTCGACGTGGAGCTGTGAGGCAGCGGGTGGCTTCCAGAGGCTGGGAAAGGGCTTTCTCCATCAGCCCTGTCTCCATCGGGTTGTAGCATCTAGCCCTGGGGAAGGGCACCACAGACTCTGGAGCTATAGTATTTCCATGGCTGCAAGTAAATGTCCCTCTTCCTTAGCGTGACTATGGCCGGAAGCCTCATTGCTGTGCTCACCTCTACTGCTCACCCTTTGGCTGTGGATATGATCATGACTACACAGGGACACACGCCTTCCACATATGGGGGAAGAGCCTCCCCAGGGGGCCCAGTGAGCAGACCCAGGCCCTTCCTCACAGAAGTCTGCTCCCCTGGGGCACAGAGCATGGGCCCGACCAGAGCTATATAAGGCCAGGCTGGCCGGGACCGTGGGAAAGGCTCCGAGCAGTCAGCTCCCTCTGTCCCCCGGGATAGGCAGGCCTCAGCCCTGAGCCAGGCCCTGCCAGGCCAGAAATGAGCCACTGCCACTGTCAGCCTGTCCATGGTCTCGTCATCACGTTGGGGCAAGTTCTCAATCTGACAGCTCCACGCACACAGGGGACAAAGGACTGAAGAGGGACGATCACATTGGCCAAGAATCTGGCATTCCCATGCCCCAGGCAGCATGGAGGGGGAAGGCTCACCCTGCTATTTGGAAGAGGTGGTGGTAGCTCAGGGAGCTGACTGCCCCTGGCCAGAGAGGAAGCTTGATCTGGCTGTGTCTTGGAGGGGGCGCAGCTGGCAAGGCGGCAGCATGAACAAGGGTGCAGGGGAGGGGCTTTGAGGTCCCCAGGTGCTACAGAGCCTTGAGGTCCTTGGAAGCAACTCCACGGCTTATGTAGAAGGCAGAGGAGGATCGAACCCCAAACCCCACCTGCTCCACCCTGAGCAGTGTCACTGTGGCCTGGTTACAGAATAGGCTCCAGCTCAGCTCCCTGTCATACAGGAGAAACTGAGGCTCAGCAAAGAGTCTGGTCTGAGACACGCAGTTCAGCACTGGGTCTCCACGTCCCAGGCTCCTTCTAGCATGTGGCATGGCCATGATAGCACCTGTGCTATCCCCTGGGGCCCTCCCAAACACCCAGGAAAGGTACGGGACATGTTCCACACTCCACCCTTACTCCCGCTCCCCTGTAGACAGTGCCCAGGGCCAGTGACCAAGCGACACGCTCCAAAGGCTGGGGCCCCTCGGGCATCCTCTTTATTGGTGCTGGTGCAGAGCCGGAGGGGAGGGCGGCAGCCCAGAGACGGCAGGGCAGAAGGGGTGTTCTGGCATAAAAAAAGAGTTCTTGGGAAAGGCTCCTGCGTCTAGGTGCTTGGGTGGCGAGGGGCGCGGCACGCACTTCTCAGCCAAAGACACTCTTGGCGGGTCCCGCTTTGGGCTTCTCGAAGACAGTCTCTGTGCCTGTGCGGGAGCGGCTGAACACCGAGGGGGCGGCGGAGCCAGCTTGCTCTGCGGGAGGAGGCACGGTCAGCGGCCCTGCCTGGCTTCCGGAGAGGGAAGGCCCCTTGTGTCAGGAGCACCCTCTCCTGAGCCCAGGAACTCTGGACTCTCAGAAAAGGACCCTTAACCCCCTCCCCCCACCCTGACACACATCTGTGCCCCAAGCCCCAGCCCCAGGTGCCTGCAGGACACTTACCACACTCCCGCATGACCTGGTAGGTCTTGGACTTGATCTCCTGGTTCTTGGCCAGGCTCCCTCGGGCCCCCTTCAGGTCCTCCTCCTTCACAGGGGGGCGCTTCTTCTTGATGGGGGCTTCCTGAGTGTCAGCCTTGGAGATCCCAGAGTCTTACCTTACCACCGGAGGCCTTGAGGCAGGGGCCCCTTTCCTACCTCCGCACCTTGGCCCCTCTTTTCTGCTCACTGAACTCAGGCTGATTCAAGGCCTCACTCTTCTTCCAGGAAGCCTTCCCGACTGCACCCCGCCCCTGTGAGTCTGACTTGTCCATCTGCCCTTCCCCCCCAGACTGGGAGCCCCTGGGGGTAGTGGCCGCTGTGCCTCACACTGATCTGCCTGAGCTTGGCTGGGCACAAGGGGCAAAGGGGAAGGGACTGGCTTCCAGGCTGAGCAGTCCCGGGGAACTTGGTGAGTTCCAAGACCTGCTCACTGGGTGGCAGGGGGTCCCTTAGGGATTGCCCCTCTCCCAAAAAAGTGCCAGTGTTTACTTTGTTTTTGGGGGTGAAAATAAGGTAGACTGGGACCAGATGCCCACAAAATTACAGTTGAAAGTCAGCACCCCACCCCATGACAGCAGGAGGGGGACAGCCTCCCCCCCAGGCAGGCTGATCTGTCTGTCCCTCCAGGGCTCACCCTACTCCTCAACCGCAGGCGCCTGTGGGTCTGTGGCCTTATTGCTTCCTCAGCCCGGGGTGGGGGGGCAGGTGCAGGGATCCTTTCCCTCAGTGGGGACTACCTGGGCACAGAGCTGGGAACCCACAGGCACAGCCTCATATGTCCACACACACACACACACACACACACACACACACACACACAGCCTTGTGTACAAACGCAGGGACAGACACAGCCTCGTATATACACAGAGACAGACATAGCCTCGTGTGGACACACAGCACACACAGCCTCCTGTACACACATATTCGCACACACCTCATGTGTACACACAGATAGCCTCATGTGTACGTACATACATACAGATACATCATGTGTACACACCCATGGACACAGATACGGCCTTATGTATACGCCCACACACACAGTGCACGACTGCAGAGGCCAAAGCTACAAATGTACACAACTGTACATGCTGAGCTCTACAAGCAGCTCCCTCACACACACGCAAAGCACATGCAGAGATCTATGGAAGCCCGACACACGTTTCTCCCCACCCCTCCTAACAAACCACGAATGGCACCAAAGCCGTGCTCAACAGGCGGCCCTCAGGGTGTCCTCCCTGAGCCCCGGCCTCCCAGGGGCTGCGAAGGCTCCTGTTCATGCTTGGAGCTCAGCTCAAGACACAGCTGCCAGCGCTGGCAGTGTCCAGGTCCCAACCTCCACACCCTCTGGCACCAACAGGGCGGGTGCTGGGCCCCCCCACCTGGGACATGGCGAGTGCTGTGCGAGCGCCGGCTCTCCAAAGGCCTCTCTGGCAGGCGGGAGCTGGTGGAGAGATGTGAGCGGGGCGCAGCCCTCTGGAGCTTATATAGCCTGCCTGCCTGTCCTGGGAAGTCACTCCCCCTGCTCCGCTGGCTCCCTGATGATTCAGGTCCGCACAGCGTTGGCTTCAGAGTTTATTCTCGGAGATGAGAGGGGCTCTCTGAGCACTGCTGCCTGGGACAGCTGCTGTATTCGCGGGCGGGAGGTGCTGGCCCTGGAGAGACTGGCTGTGTGTGTTTACGGATGCGGGTCCTGGAATGCGCCACAGTGAACTGCTGGTCTGCGAGGGCTCATCGCAGGGTGTGGGCGTCCCTGAGGAAGGGGAGGGCCCCAGCCCATTGGAGCACTCCGCTCCGCGGCTGTTCTTCTTTCTCTTCCACCCCTTCCCCTGGATTCCAGTAGACTTTCCATCGTTGCGGAGCAGCAGAGCAGGAGCTTCCTGTGCTTATCGCTAAGGAAGCAGTTGCTCAGGATGAGCTGACTGGGCCCCCACAGCTAACTCAGAGCGAGGGGCTACCATTGGCTTATAGGTGGGGAAACTGAGGCCAAGGGGAGCTGCTCATGCTTTTGCTGGGGCCCTTTTTCCTCTGTCGGGCTCCCAGTGCAAGTTCAGCACAGGGACAAAGTGGGATGGGGGGCGAAGGGGCCCAGGAAGGACCGGGAGGAAGCCATGCTCGATGGCAAGGGCGCCAGTGAGAGGAAGGCAGGGAAGCCTCGGGCGCAGGTGAGGCCACTGCGGGACAGGTGAAGTTGCTGAAAGAGGGAGGCGGAGAGTGAAGCCCACGCCTGGTACTGAGTTGTGGAGACAAGAACAGGCCCGAGGTCTCCCGTGAAAGGTCACTTAGCTCTCCTCTGCTAGAAGCTTCTAACACCCCATCCTCATAAGGGGAAGATCCCCCGGGGCCCAGGGCAGGACCCTAAGCCTGGGGTGGGTGTGGGGAGTGACGTGGGTAGGAGGTCAGGGCCCTGTTGTTAGATTAGACATACCAAGCTCCTTTCAGTTTGTGATGGAGATTATTTTTATCCTTGAAGGCTTAAGGCAGATGGAACCCAACCAGGCGCTGACATTTGGTTATCCCAAATGCCACTCCACTGCTGTCATACCTCGGACCCCACCCCCATCCCTCCACCTCCAGTCCTGGTGCCAGGAGGCCGACGTGAGGACTGCCAGGCTTGACACGAGACGAGTGCTGACGTGAGGAATGCCCAGGAATCTGAACGCAGGCCCAGGGCAGGCTGGCCTCCGTGAGGGCCCTTCCGCCAGCTCCGGGGGCGCCGCCACTGATGGCAACGGATGCCGCCGAGCTGCCCCACTGCTGGCTCCAGCCAGGGAGGCACCTGCCTTCCAGCCCTGTGGCCTCAGGGACGTGGGATGTCCACTCCCCTCTCTCTCCCCAGCGCAACCCCCTCAGGAGGGGACTAGCTTTAAGTCTCATTAGCGAGGAAGTGGAAATGGCAAGAGCACGTCTGGTTTCTGCCCTCAGCAGATTTCGGCTCCCACCTCTGCCATGAGGCTACGTAAGGTTCATTCTCACTCTGCTTCCTGGGAAGAACCTTCTAATTCACTGGGAAAAATTTTTGACCCCACTAAGCTGTTTCAATTTCAGAGAACACACAACCAACAACCACAAAAGTGACGGGTTTTGTTTTTTTTAAAAAACCGTAATAAGATGTCAAACTTTATTGTAAACCACTTTACAACGTAAGTACATCATCTTCCCTTTCATTTCAAAAATGTGTTCCCATGACTCGTAACACCCCCACTGGATGGCAGCTAAGTGGCCATGGTTTTGCTCACATAGGTCTGACTTCTAATTAACTTCATGGAAAAAAAAAAAAATCAAATTTAAAGCAACCAAACCAACCAACCAAACCAGGAGCTCAAGGTACTCATGGTAACATGGCAGACCACAAGTCCCTCACCAAAAAAGCGAAGCCCCTCAGAGCTACCCATGCTGCACAGGTGAAGCAGAGAGCTACGCACTCTTAGCTGCGAGCGTGTGAAACTTTAAAAGCCAGCCCCACACCCTGCAACGGGGCTGCCCGGGCTGGAGGGAAGCTCCTGGAGCTGCCTGTCTTGGCCTGGCTGCAAAACGGCCAGTGAGCCGCAGTCCGGAGGGCGGAGCAGGCTGAGGCCGGGCACTGCTCCCCCCAGGTTCCGGGACAGCCGCTGGATGTGGACTCAGGGCTGCAGCTTACAGGCCTGCTCTGCCTAAGGAAGTTACAACTTGGAGTTGAGCCTTTTTATATTTTCCCTGAAGAAAGGGGCACGACAGGTGACATTAGCCCATGACTCCCTGTTGCCAGGGACGTCACAAGTTAAAGCCTGAGGCAGGGGGCCACCAGCGTGCCTGGGGCTGAGGAGCCACAGACCCTTGTCTTGCATGTGTTTTGCCTGAGCAGACCAAGAAGCCACCACCACCCGCCATCTCACAGACATTCCCCCTATGTCCCTTGTCAACGTCCCTCTGACAACAACAGGAAATAACAGCAACAACCACCTCTTCTGTTCAGATATGACAGTTCTACCTCATCAGCTTATTTCCATTAGTTACGAGAAACTTGTCCATGACCTTGGCTTTCCAAGTTTCCATTATGGATGGCTTGGCCGAGGTCCAGATTTGGGCAAATCTGATAGACAGCACACGGTATCCAGTCGGCGCCCCATCATTTCTCACACACGGTGATGCATGCCACGTGGCTAGGTGAAGAGCTGCACCTGGTAAGGCACCTTGGAGCAGGTGGTGAGGAAACTCATCCCTGGGAGGGAGGGCAGCTCAGCAGGAAGTCCCGCCCACAGCCCTCTCATATTTCATGGGATGATGCGCCACACAAGAGCCCCCAGTGACTGCAGGAGGCACTCCTGGGGATACAGGCTCTTGGGGGTGTGTGAGTGCATGTGTGCGTGTGTTCATGCACATGGGAGGAGGGGAAGGCCAAACAGTGTGGCAGAGGCCACATTGCCCAACCTCACATACTAAGAAGTCCCTATGCTCAGATGCGCTGTCAGATCTCCATTCCTGGGTAGCTGGCTACACAGCTGCAGCTCAGGGACTAAAGCCCTTTCTGAAAACCAGGATATAGGCAAAAACCATCACTCGCCAGCTACCTCTGTCCCCAAAACCCACGGCTCAGTAGGAACTGGGACGAGCCTTCAGATGAGACATCTGAGGTCCACATAACCCAGAGTTTCCACCTTTCATAGATTACAGCTCTCTCACCCCCTGCTCTCTTTTGGAAACATTAGGAGCCCAGGACTGAAAATGAAGCTCCAGTCTGTGCTCCAGGAAGGTGGAAGAAACAGCCGCAGGCACAGGCTGTTCAAACGAAACAGGAGGGGAGGAATTAGAACTGAGACAGTGATGCCATGAGGAAGAGACTGCCCCACCAGGAACATCAGTACTGGTCATCCCTAATTCGACTCGTATGGCCTCCTGGCTCCAGCCACTCTTCCCCACTAGGGGACCGACCGGCACAGAAAGACTCACCACCACAGCTGGAGGCGAGAAGAGAGTAAATGTGAACAGGAGTAACGTGGACCCGAGATGGACTCCAGTCTCAGGTGTTGCCCAGCCTGCCCCTCCTCTTGGCCCCAGGCCCACACTGGCAAGGTCGCCTCCTACTGCACAGTTCTCTCAGCCCCCTGGCTCTGTACTCCTGGAGGAAGATGGGCTGCAATGCCTCCTGTCCCTGGCTTGCCCCAAGTCCAGGACAGGAGGGCCTTGAGAGGCAGAGGACAGTCCCAGGGTGGCTGGTTTAACAGCTGGGCTTACACGCCACCATTCAAACCCAATGTGTTTAAGTACAACACGTTTTTATATAGGTCTAAAAGAAGGTTCTGAGTGACGTGGCCTCCCCTGCACTTGTCTCACTTAAGGCCTGGGCTGTCTCCCTTCCAGCTTGTACTTTAGCAGTGTGGTTTCCTATTTCTAAACATCCATGGCTACCTGCGGCTTGATAAACCACTGGGCAGCTCTTTCCCCAGCAGGGAAATTGCTGGGGTCAGCCCATTCCACTGCCACTTGGGGGCTCAGGGCCATGCTGAGGAGTGGGGCCATTCCCTAAGGGACACAGCCTAGAGGCACCTCATCCTGCATGTGGGTTTAGAAAGCGAGCTCTCTCATGCGTACCCACCCAGCCACCTCACAGCTTTGGAGGGGGTGAAAAACAGCGTCCCTGTCAGGCAGACATCCTCCAGACTGCTGTGCAAAGCGAGCAGACGACAGGCACCAGGGCAGCGTGAGAGGAGGCTCCTGGACATGGGCCCAGAGCTGGCTCTGAAGGCTGCAGCAGGGGCTAGGAGGCCGAGACTATTTTAACTAGAAATCTGGAGGCTCTACAGAGAGGCAGGGAACACACGGGAGAGTGGGCAGAGATAGCAAGGACACAAAGACCCCTTAGGTTCCTTTCTCGGTCAAGTTTAACCAAGACCTCTCGCCTGCCAGCAGATAGACCGAAGAGCTCATGGGCCCCGGGAAGAGCCTGTCCCATTCCACATCTGTGTCCAGACCAGCTGCCCCGTGCTCAGGCCTGATTCCCTCCCTCCCACAGTCATGTGCCGTCTACGGTAGGACACCATCTAACAATATTCCAAGTGAAAAACTCCCGAATTTTTCCTCCCACCAGCTCATACCCCATGAAAGGCAAACAAACCCATTTCTTTGGGGATTAAAAAGAGTTTTTAAATACAATAGTATGAAAATATAACTTAAAAATATAAAAGTCAAACAGCATACGGAAGACTTAAAAATCTCTGTTTTGCCCATTAGTCCCAAAGGTACTTTGTAGGAAATAAACACATACTCAAAAACCAGTAACACTGCCACGGCTCATAAAACCGGCTCCCAAAATCAATAGTTACAAAAGCCATTTCGAGTAAGAAAGCATTCCGGTTCTGACTCGGTCAACATGTGACTTTTAGCCCAAAATGCGTCACGTGCTCACACTGCCCGAAAGGACCCACCCGCAGTCTGTGTGTGCCCGCTTCCTTCCACCTTGCCACCCA